TTTTTGCGGTACGTGGGCCTCTCACTGTTGTGGCCTCTCCCGCTGCAGAGCACAGGCTTCGGACGCGCAGGCTCAGCGGCCATGGCTCACGGGACCAGCCGCTCCGCGCACGTGGGATCCTACTGGACCGGGGCACGAACCCGTGTCCCCTGCATCGGCAGGCGGACTCTCAACCACTGCGCCACCAGGGAAGCCCTGCACTTAATTTTGGATTGCTAGGACATAGTTCACAAGTGCTGAACTTGTGCTCCTAGTAGTAGGAGCTCTGTTGAACACTTCTGCTTCAGTGGTTGTTGTGTTTCTGAAGTGCTTAGTTGGGAATCACTGCAGCCTGAGGGTAGTGTTAGAGAAATCAAACTTTGGTGTGTTGTCTTATGCAGTTTTCTACCAATATTGAATGCTCATCATTGGGGGGATACAATTCTGTGTTCCTTATCACCTTGTAAGTAAAATTTGTTTCTTATTAGCTGTGAAGTCCTGAAGAGTAGATGTCTTTCAGTTTTTGTAAACTCCAGTGCCTGGCATGTAGTAAGCTTTTAATTTGTAGTATGAACATCTCGCAGAATTCTCCTCTAGTTGTTTTTGTCCTTTTGCTGCCTTCCATTTGAATTGGAATGAAAATATTAGTTTGTAATGAATAACAACAGTTCCATGGGAAGTGGGGGGGGGACCAAAATAGAATAAAAGAACAGGTGTTTATTGTAATTACTTCATTACTCTCCAAATCATTTATTGTTATAAGATTCTACCTGGTTTCCTTTGGCCTTGGGCTGCTTTGATTAGTGCTTTAGTTCTTGCATATTTATTTTTATTAATAGAGAAACTTAAACCTGCTTCATGACTTCTCTCACTTTTTTCCTTTCACGAAGGATTGGCTTCTGTTTTTTTGTGTTGTGAGTGGGAAAGAATGAGGTATATAAATTGGAGAAAGATTAAATGACAATGAAATTGTGACCTGAAATAATTTATATTATCCTTTTTCTGCTGTTGCGCACATTTTTAATTTGATGGAGCTGGAGAAGATTGACAAGGGTTATTTGTGTCTTCTGTTTGTTTTGGTATATGTAGCACATAAAATTCCATTGTAATTATTTTGTTTGTAGGTCTCCCCACTTTAGTGACCTAAGTCTAATCTTTATATCTCTGGGACCTAGTCCACAAGAGATGCTAACTGTTGGAGTTGTGAAGGGATAATATTTTGGGGAATTTAAAGTCATTCTATGTTTGTTTTTGGTTTTCTAAAGTTCCAAGTTGCCTGCAGTTTCCATATCAAAAGCTTCCATGGCAAACTCTAATAAATAGTTTCTTCTGTAGGGTAAAGAGGGTATTTCTTCCATCACTAAAGCCGAGTATGAGGCTTAGTGCCTCCCAGGAGGAAGGAGAATGAATTGGAAGTGGAAAGTCCATCTTTTTTCAGCCCTGGTGGCTTATGGGAAGCAGGGGATAGAGGTGGGGAAAATAGATTGTGAGAAACATATGTTCTGACCTTCCTTGTCTGGCCAAAGTTCTGGGGTTGGGGTGAGGGTATTAAATGGGTTGACGGGTCAGTCAAAAGTAGAAGGCCTTAAAAAAAAAAAAAAAAGTAGAAGACCTTTGGCTCTGCTCCTTATTTGTAAGCTTGAGAGATGTGTAGGCTGTTGCTGTGCCAACACTGGGGGCTAGGGCATAGCAGTGGTAAGAGAAAGTGGCCGGCTGCATGAGTCTGTGCTAGCAGGGGATTCTGAAGTGCTCTCATATCACTTCAGGGATGGGGACAAGCTTAGAGGCCTG